GTCTTGGTTTGACTTTTCCTGCATTGTATGTGTTGGTCTGGCTTTTCGTGCAAGACCAAAACCAACAATAGCGTTAACCCAACACCAGTGCAAGACTTACGCAAGAGCAATACCAATTGTGCAAAACTCTTACGGTCGTACGTAAAAATAAAATTTTTCATCAGAAAAATGTTGTTTCATTATTTATAGTTTAATTTGCTTAAATTACTTAGAATAGTATTTATTTAATGATTTTCCATGAAATTTTCCTTAATAAAAATCTCTTAAACAGCACAAGACTTGTACGAGTCATGTAGCAAATGCAAGGCCAAAATCAAAGAAGTCTTGGTTTTCGTCTTGCTTTTGATCATCTCTCAATTTTGACACAAGTTAGCTTGAAAATGATGATAGATGATAATAATTATTGTAATAAATGACAGCTACCTTTATTTAAAATCCAACCCCGCGGCCGTTTTTTTTTTCGATTGTATGGTTAGATAATCACGTTATATGTAAAGAATTAATTATACAGGGTGTTTCAAAGAATAGGTGCCAACTCTCTTGGGAAGATTCCTCATGTAACAATAAAATTTATTTTTTATATCAACATAGGTCCGATTCTGCTTTGTTTCGTAATAAAATACAGGGGGTTAAAGTTTTTATTTCTTTTCGATTTATTACAATTTTCTTCCAAGTGCTTTGAGTAATTCGAATGAAATTTTGAGGGAAAAATATTGTAAGTGCTACATATTTTAATGCTAAAAAATGTCAACAGATTCTTATCACTGGAATATTTTTCGAAAAAAAAACTTGTGTCCCACTGATTTTTTTTCTTTTGCTAGCAAAACGGTATAGGCCGTTTAATGCCAATTAAAAGTTGTATCTTGATATTTTGTCGATTTGGATCTCCATGATGAGATAAAAGCAATTTTATTAAAATTAAAATAAAAATAAAATTAAGTTATTTATTTTATCCAATTTGTATATTATTACTATTAGTTAGTACTATACTACTAGTCCAACCTACAGCAAATTCAAATAAAGAAAGAATGGTGTTTAAGATTCTTAAAAAAGGCATATATTTAAAAAGGTTTAACATCCTGTAACTTACCAGTGTTTATAGGAACTTTTGTCATATTTTTTGATGAGGAATCAATGAGAACTAATTTAACACTTTCGCAAGTTAATGATATTAAAATGTTTTAAAGATTGCTATTAGACTTGGATCAAGGCAAATTAATAAAATTGCGTTTACCTCATCAAGGAGGCCAAAATCATAATATATAATAAAATATCAAGCAACAACTTTTAATCAGCTTACACTATTTCGCTGGCAAGAGAAAATAAAGTTAGTGGCGTACATGCTTTTTTAGAAAAAAAAAATATTCCAGTGATAACCCATGCACATCCCTGGTGAATATGTCGACACTTTCTTAGCATTAAAATATGTCTCACTTATAGTTACTTTTAGACTCGTTAGAAAACTCTTAACTCTTTAGAAAATTTCACTTGAATTGGTAAAAGTAGGTACATGAAAGAAAATTATAATAAATCGAAAAAATATTAATATTATAACCCCCTGTTTGCTACGAAACAAAGCAGAATCGGACCTATGTTGATATAAAAAATAAATCTTATTTTTACGTGAGAAATCTCCCCACGGGATGGCACATGTTTTTTTGAAATAACCTGTATGAAAGCATAATAATGACATAAATATTAAATAAGCAATTAAGCCTGGAATTTTACTTTTGGTTTACTTTGTTGGGATTTGTAACCTATTATATTTGTCACCACCGTGTTTAGTGAAACATTACACCTAATTCCCATCACTATTTTCTCTAATTGTTTCAATAGAATAGATAACATATTTTATTGAAAAGTTAGAAGCTTATTGTTAGGTAGTTTCATTTGATAAAAAAAAATCAGCATCATAACAAAATTTGGTATATTGTATTATTCCAAAATTTGGTATAAGACAATATATGTATAATTGATAATAAATAACTTCCAACACTATTACATTAGTAAACAAAACTGTGCAATGTAGCAACACTCTTCTTGAATTTTTAATAGGAACTTATACGAAGAAATTTATGTATGTATCCTGATCCGTTGTAATTTCCGATTTATTTCAAAGATCTAATAGTTTGACCTCTACATAGCTAAAAGTTGATTAATAAGAATTAATAATTATATCAAAAATCTCATAATATTTATTGGTTACTAATTACAATTAAACGATGTATGTGCTTCACACATTTCTTATGAACTAGTATTGTACGAAGAAATTTTTAGATGCATCCTGATCTAAGCCTGACCCCTTTAAATTTGATGTTGATAAAATAATGTTATAATAACAATATTTATTAGAGAATAATCGGAGCCTCCTTTTGATATTTATTAGTTAAGATCAGATCACAGGCAATGATTATTATGGGGGCAATATGATTCTGATAAAATATACTTGCCGTTTAATTTCTGTGATCTAAGTTTGACCTGTATAAAACTATTACTGATGAATAATAATTAATTTTAATTATGAAGCATACAGGGTGGCGCCTCTAGTACGTCGCGGAGGCTGCAAACAGAACGACAGATGATGTTGTAAGCTTATGTAAGTTAGTTTAGCGCATTTTTTAAAAATATAGAGGCACCCCTGTAGAAGGTGTCCCAAAAAAAAGTTATACATCAAAGTTGTCTATTTTTTAATGGAACACCCTATATATTAAAATATTTTCCGATTCTAGGAGAAAAATAAAGGTGAGTTTTATTATTGAAGTGTATTACTAAATGTAAGGTTTTTGACTTATTTCACATTTTGTGAAAATGAAGAGAATGATATTTAAATTCCAATAACTACTACCTAAATTGTAATTTATCCTGTATAGCCTGATATTTAGTTAAAATTGCCATTGTTTATTAAACCAAATTAAAATTTAACCCGAAAAGTTATACAGGGTGAGACAAAATTAATATTGAACATTGTCACTTCTAAAAGCAAGTTACTCCTTTATTTAAATGGAACACCCAGTATATTATTCCGATATTCGATGGAGAATTCATATATCTTCAAAATATTATTAAAGTTGCCTACCCCTTAGGCAAAGACTTTATTAGATATTTTCATTTTTATGATTGTTCGTCAGAAGATCCTTATTATTTGATAAAGTTTAGATGGCTATGATATACCTTTAGTTAATTTAACACAAATTAAAAGATTTTTATATTTAATGGTAATAAAAAGATTTTTTTTGTTAAAACATATTTTAATTATTACAAAATTAGAACTAGATATAAATGTATAATTATGTGACAAAAATTAGCTAGATGACATCAAATGCTCAAAATGTTTCCTTTCCTGTTCACTGCATGAAATGATTCTCTTTTTAAAATAGATTTTCATGTTAAGAGGTATATGAGAGGTATGTCAAGTTCTACTGCGAAAAGTAGAACACACACAATAATTTCTCTCATGTTGTTAACAATAGTTGGTCGGGTTTTGTAAAAACTGTCTTTAACATATCCCCATAAAAAAGTCCAGACTATATAAATTAGGAGCATCCTGAGGAGCATCTAAGCAGTCTGTTAATTGATGAATGCACACTGCAGTCACATTTGCAATAATTTTTATTATCCTGCACCGTATTCTAGGATTTCAATCATAATTAAATTTCAATTCTAGGAATCAATAAACTTTCTAATGTTAGTAGCAAAATATCTTCTATATTCAAACTTTTCTTACAATTTTCTAATACGAATTTGTACAAAATATTTGTACGTATTCATCATCAAATAATATAATTGCCGTCTTTTTTCTAAGATCTTATAGTTTGACCTTTATTGAACTAATGTTGATAAATAACAGTTAAATTTATTGTCAAACATCTCAAAAGAGTTATTGATGTTTACTAATTTGTCATTTCTACATTTTATAATGAATTTCATATGTTGACGATAATAAACTGTAAATTACTACATCCACAACAAATTTATTAAATAATACACAATTTATTGTAATACTCTTTTGTTAATTGTTTATGCATATATCATTAATCAACATAATATTATGTACGAGATGAGTCACTCAATTCTGCGGTTATCTACAATACACGCGAGCAATTAGCCATATCCTTTTAAATAACTGTTTATTTATCATAAATAATACTTCAATGTGAGTGATTTTAAGTTAGGCAAAAAACCGAAATCATTAAAAAATTGACTTGCATTTTAAAAAAATTTAATGATTTTTACTTGGTTACTTGGCTAATTTCTCTATTATGTAAAAATACTCAATAACTTTACGATAAGAAAACAAATCTTATTCTATTTCAATAGAAGCTGATAGGGTTTACCTGGTTTCAGAAATTGATACTTTGCATGGTGACACTCCCAAAAAATCACTAGGAATGTAGATTGTAAGTTGTATGGGATGGAGGAAGTTAATCACCACGTCCTTATTATCTTTTCCCCTCTATTGAGTTATAACTCATCATACAGTCCAAGAGCTTTGATTAAAGCCAGTATCTGAGAAGGTTAAATAGAAGGTAGTTCTCCATCTCTACCCACATTTCTAGATATTGAAGGGTCTTTCAACAACGTAAATGTGCAATCTATCTAGACTCTTAATTATTGGATCGTAAGCATGTTGCGGACGAGAATTATACAAGCCGATCTGGGAAACAGTCGCATAAATAGACACATGAATAGAGGAACGCCATAGGGGGGAGGAATTTCTCCACTCTTGTGGCTATTAGTCATGAATGGTATACTGCTGGAACTCGACAGAGAGGGGGCCAAGGCAGTTGCCTATGCTGATGACCTTTTTTTTTATAGATGGGAAACGCCTTTAGGGCCGGAGTGTGGGGATCTCCCTCCCTACTCTGCCCAGAGGGAGGGCCTACCCACTAAAAACCCATCTTTGCTACATAACCCTAACTATCCTGGAACTGCCGTGAAGCATGACATCGGGATAGTAGGTGATTCTCAGTTATCTCATATTCTCTAAACTATTCTAACATTCATTTCCATATATGTATATATATACATAAATCTTCCTTATTATTAATTGCCTTGCAGTTTACCCAGAACCTTACATCTAAAATAAACGTTTTAGCCCATCCTTGATATTGCGACCACGCATCCTGCCATTTGTCCAGTATAATATTTCTGGCCTCAAATCTGAATTGGTCTCCATGTTTATACACTAGACTTCTTTGTTCTGTTTGGAGCTTTATCGGTGGGATACCGGCTAGGACCAGGATGGCCTTAGTTGGAGATGTTCTATATGCCGATGTTACTCTCAGCGCTATTTTACGATTTATGGAGTCTAAGATATTTTCGTAGAGTTTGTATTTTAGGGCTCTCTCCCATATGGGAGACGCATACAGAATCGTGGAAGACACCACCGAGGCCAATGTCCTCCTCTTTTCTGCCACCGGTCCCTTCAGATTGGGCATAACTCTGGATAACTGCTTTATGATTGCCTCTGTTTTTTCCTGAAGTTTTCGAATATGGGTGGTCATCCGAGCGTCTTTATCTAGCCAAACTCCCATGTATTTTACCGCCCTTGTGCTTTTAATGTTGGTATTGCACCAGCTAAATTCTACCTCCTTCATCTTCTGTCTTCCCGCCAAAATGACCATTTCAGTCTTATTGGTAGCTAACTCTATGCCCATCTCATCCAGCTTATTTTTAATAGTGTATGCTGCAGCAGTCATTCTTTCTATAAGCATGCTTTTGCTGGGGGCACTTGTCACTGGGCTAGATCGTCTGCATATCCAATAAGACTGCACCCCGGTCCGTAGTCCTCTCTAAGCACTTGGTCATAGAAAACGTTCCACAGTGTCGGTCCAAGTATAGATCCTTGCGGGACGCCACATACCATTCTGAAACGTTCTCCATGTTCCGTAACAATGTACCTTTTATGGAGGTATTGTTGGAGCATTATAATTAGGTACCCACTGATTCCCTTGTTTTCAAGTTGTCTTATTATTTTTTGCCACTGGGCCAGGTTAAATGCATTTTTTATATCTAATGTCAGGAGTGTTGCGACTCCTCTGGATTTGTAAATCTTGGCGTTTATATTGTCCACTATGTTTAGGATTATATTTAGTGCCTCTATTGTGGATTTGCCCTTTCTGAATCCATATTGGTTTTCATGGATGGCACCTTTCTCTGTAAGCTCCGTTTCTAGTCTATTTTTTAAAAGGGTCTCCAACAATTTAGCTCCAGAATTTAGCAAACATATCGGTCTGTACGACTTTGATGTACTATCTTGGGTTTTCTTTTCTACTAGTACCAGTTTCGCGGTTTTCCATTCCATTGGAATATGTCCTACCCTGAGACAGAAGTTCATGACATCCATGACCGATTTACAATCGTGTGTGGCGGCAGCTTACATAACATCAATAGGAATGCCATCACAGCCCGGAGCTTTTCCCACTTTTAGACTCTGAGTGGCCTCTATTATCTCCTCTTCTGAGAAATATGGAATTTTATCTCTCTCAATGGTAATAGTCTGCCATTGTATTATCTTTACGGTCTGAAATAGTAATCGTATCTGTTCTCTAGTTGTTTCTTCTGATATACTTTTTTTATTTCCAGTACTCCACTTTCTGGTGACTATTTGGTACGCTTTGCCCCATATATCCTTGTTCAGGTCATTTAAGAGATTTTCCCAGGCATGTTTTTTGGCGCTTTTAATAGCATGTTTCAGATTGATTTTTGCCTCTTTGTAGTTGGATATTGCTGTGTCTACATCCGTTGATTCTCCTGCCCCCTTTCTGCCTCTAGTGATCTTTCGACGCAGACTGTTGCACGTTGCCCTTATCTCCGCTATATGGAAACTCCACCAATAAGTCATTTTTTGCCGTTTTCTATTTCTGGGTAAAAGATAGAGATTGCATAAACTCTTTAGGGATTTACTTAGACTCTGCGGATTAGCCGCCTTCATACGCAAACCCTCACTCTCGCAGTGAGACCTAATTCGTTCCATACCCGATTGTGTGACCCTCCATTTGTACGCAATTGGTTTTGGTTTATCCACAGTTGTATCAGTCGTGATCTCAAAGTAGATATTTCTATGGAGGCTCATATTTTCCTCGCTTTCAGCCACTTTCCAGTTCTTAATTTTGAGGCTTATACTTGCTGTGGCCAATGTTATATCAATCATCGACTCGCCATTCATATTTTTGAAAGTGGGGATATTGCCCTGGTTTATTACAACCAGGTCATTAGCCTCTATCCACTCTTCCACTATCTTGCCCTTTTCGTTTATTGTGGTGGAGCCCCACAATCTAGACTTAGCGTTTAGGTCACCGCCTATAATGGCTTCTTTTTTTTTCCTTTTATGATAGTTTCTATCTCTGCCAGCACGCCCTCTAGCAACTGGCTAGGTTTGCTAGGGGAGAAATAACATGAAAAGAATAACGCATCACGAGTTTCAGCACAAACAAAACTTTCACAACATATATAATCTATCACAGATAACTTATTTTCAGTGTAAATAAACGCATCACAGTTTGTATCACAGATTTCTTTGCTTTTAGCAATCAAATTTGGTTCTTGTCCTAGTAATATATCGATATTTTTTTCGATTATGTTTTGTAGGGCGAGGTCATACGCTGCTCCTCATCTGTCGATATTTATTGATTGATTTATTATCATAAATATTATTGATATTTATGATCGATCATGCTGATGACCTAGCAGTACTAGTCAACGACTTTTCCCTGCCCGTAAATATACCCGAACTGGTCCAAAAAATGTGGACTAAGTCTCAATCCAGGAAAAACTGAGTTAATGCTATTTACCACTAAATCTAAGCAACTCAACCAACTCTACCAAGACTCAATGGTACTACGCTGACATTTTCATCCAAGGCTAAGCATTTAAGTTATACTTGATCTGAAACTAAACTGGAGAACCAACGTAGAAGAAAGAATAATAAAGGCCTATGTTGCCCTCTACACGTGTAAAAAAATGATAGGTGAAAAGTGGGGACTCCAACCGAGTATGGCTAAGTGAATATACACTGTCATAGTGCGACCAATTCTCACAAATACCCTCACGGATCTCTGGTATGGTGGCCAGCTTTGGAGAACAAAACCAATATTTCCGAGCTTGGAAAGGTACAGAGGAGTGCGTGTGTGTATATTACAGGAGCGTTAACATCGACGCCCACAGATGCTCTAAACGTGCTCCCCCACTTCTTCCCATTAGATCTTCATATTAAAAATCTGACTTCCAGTAGCGCAATTAGACTCAGAGAAACTGGTTGATGGACGGAGAAACTCTATCGTCACAGCAGTATTCTTGGAAGATTACCGAAGGATATTCTTGCTGGACCATCTGACTATCTGACACCTAGGTTGGAATTTGGCAAGAACTTTCTAGTCAAAATTCCAACCAGAAAGGAGTCAGTGACTCAAAAACTAGTGAAGGAATTTGATATTGCGCTATTTACTGACGGATCCAAGATGGATTCAGGTGTAGGTACGGGGGTGTTCCCGAAGGGTGTTAACATTGCAAGATCTTACCGGCTTCCGGATAGATCAAGTGTTTTCCAGGCAGTGATACTTGCCATTTGGAAGGCCTGCCAATGGTTGAGCGGGGAGACACATATGGGCGGAAAACTGCAATAATCAGTGACAGCCAAACAGCCATGTCGGCGCTGAATTCATCATCATATCCTCCAAAATAGTCAAAAAAACGTACAGCAAATTATCCTAACTGGCAAGTAGATATGATATAACTTTGGGTTCCAGGTCATAGGAACATCGAAGGAAACGTACGCGCTGATGAACGTTAAAGGCGAGGATCGTGCCTTGAGCTAGATACATCAGAGGATGTTTTTACTCCCCTCAATACCATAAAAAAGACATTTACCACCATTTTCTGTCTATGGTGAACAGTAGATGGAAAACTTTAAGCACCTGCAGGATAGCCAGGAAAACTTGGCCCAAATACGACCTTAAGAAATCGGGAGCTATAACTAAGTCGCGTAAGGATATCTTCTGACTTACGGCAGTATATACGGGACACTGGTTAATTGGCGAATTGATGGATCGCTTTGAAAGCTGCTTGACTATCAGATTAGATGGTTATTCCTTGTTTCCTATAGTTCAATCTAAGATAAGTTGTGTGCATCTTTTGATAGCGAAGATTTCTGCCGAGGTAGGTGACTATTGGTTCGAAGTATTTAGTATTTGGACTGAAATAATCCTATCCCTGATCCTGCTTTGATATTGAAAGAATCAGTATATCATTAGTAAATAATCACTAGGATACAGGCAGGCAAAACAGTTCATAGTTGGACACTAGTCAAACTTTTCCTCAGAACTGATAAGCAAAGACAGGAAAACTGATAAAACTGTAGTGGGTCTACTAACTACTAAAAGTGTTAGTAGACTGCAAGCTCAACAGGCGCTTATAGCTGATGCAATTAAAAGACGAAGTTATGCGCAGATTCTCTCCGTCGAGAAAACAAACTGCCAAATTCAAACTATGTAAACTATGTAAGTACATTGTTATATATTTATTAGTTATCTGCCAAAATCTCATTAAACTTTTTGAAAAAGATACGACTGGAGAAAAATATATAAATTCATAAAAAAATAATTCATAAAATATTCCAATTCATATGTGGTAATGATAACATTTCCACTAAAATAAAATATGTACCTATTAATAAATGTTAGTTTTATTTATATCTATCATATTTTCAAATTTCGCATAATAGACCACTAAGTAGTTTTAAAATTAATTTAATGATTACTTATTTATATTTCTAATATTTCATTTTAACAAATGGCAGATGAAAAATTACTTATTTACATAGTAACACGTTTAACGGTCCATAAAATTAAGTGAGTCATTGAAAGTTTGCGGTTACTGAAATTATCCATATCGTTGCAATCAGAGGATGGACAAGATTTTATTTTTTCCATACCTACGCGAATTCGTAAACAAACATATCAACACAAGGTAATCTTATACAATTTATCTTCTAATGTGGATCAACAGATAGATCCTGACCCAGTTTGCGAAAAAAATATTTATTGTAGAAATAAACAAATTGTGGCGAGGTCATTTATAATACTTGAATATTTCGCAATATTTCAGAAATAGAAGCTATAATAAACTTTACACAAAATTAGAATTGTTCGTTAAGAACTTTGATGGCTTTTGTACACACAGATTGAAAAAACGTAACGGAAAAATTCTTCGTCAAATTTAAGCCACCAAGTCATGACCTATGCATGCGAAACCTGGACACTTAAAACAGACATCATAAGGAAACTGCAGGTCGCACGACGCCCAATAGAACGAAATATGCTGGGAATAACCAAGAGAGACCGTAAAAGAATTGAGTGGATACGATGAAAGACCCAGGTAATAGATGTCATCCGCACAGAGTGGAATCCCTCAAATGGCAATGGGCAAGACATCTGGCAAGAAGAACGGACTACAACTGATGAACCACAAAAATTACAGCAAGGTACCCACGTGATATTAAGAGACCTAGAAGAAGACCAAACCTGAGATGGCACCATAATATTAAAGCAGGGATGAATTGCAGCCTGCAGAAATTAGCAGGGATAACTTGGGCCCGCATAGCCAACAATAGACAACAATGGGCCCAACTACAAAGAGAGTATGTGAGGGAGGCTACAATGTAATTGGAAATGGTTGAGTAAGGTTCTGCTCTGTCATTGAT